ACTTTTACAAGTTCTCCTTTTGTAAATTTTTACAAAGCCTTTTTCTTCTTCACCCTCTTCATTCACGTGAAGTAGGCGCACTCAGCTACCTTGATTTTCATCGAATAATGATTTCCATTTTAATACATTTCAAACTTCCATTACTTCCATTGTGTAGTTGACTATTATGTAACTTCTTCTTTTTAACTTCATAAACTACTTCTGAGTGATTGTATTAATTATGGTATACCACTTTATAACTCAATAATCGATTGCTATAGTTTGTTGGTTAATATAAAAACATTTATTTCCCGATACGAATTTAAAACAAGCAATAAAGGTGAATAAAGCAGGATTTAATGAATTCATCAAATTTCAGTAGAACTCGTCAGCTGCGGAATACTCTACATACACGGATATGTACATACTTTTGAAATTACATTGGGAGATATAAGACTGATGAGCACATAAACTACATTGAATTAATCATGCAGAAACACGACAGGTGCGAATGTTTTCCAGGTCATGTTCAAATAGATAAGGCGAGAGAGAGTATGAGGGATCAAAATTAAGATGAATTGCATTACGCTTCAATTACATCACTTAGATAAACAATTGGTCATTAGAGAATATAACAAGAATTGCAAACAGACTAATATCAGTAGTAATAGTTATAATAATAATAGTGTTGAAGTGAGTTAAGATAATGGTACTGAAAAGGATGGTTTTAAATGAATATCTCCCCTTATCTATATGTTCAAATAGATAAGGGGAGATATTCATTTAAAACCATCCTTTTCAGTACCATTATCTTAACTCACTTCAACACTATTATTATTATAACTATTACTACTGATATTAGTCTGTTTTCAATTCTTGTTATATTCTCTAATGACCAATTGTTTATCTAAGTGATGTAATTGAAGCGTAATGCAATTCATCTTAATTTTGATCCCTCATACTCTCTCTCGCCTTATCTATTTGAACATGACCTGGAAAACATTCGCACCTGTCGTGTTTCTGCATGATTAATTCAATGTAGTTTATGTGCTCATCAGTCTTATATCTCCCAATGTAATTTCAAAAGTATGTACATATCCGTGTATGTAGAGTATTCCGCAGATGACGAGTTCTACTGAAATTTGATGAATTCATTAAATCCTGCTTTATTCACCTTTACTGCTTGTTTTAAATTCGTATCGGGAAATAAATAAATAAATACGGGAAGGGAACTCATCATGGGTAGAGAAGCTCTAGGAGAAATGAATGAAAACGGAGAACTCTTCGCCGACTTCTGCGCCTTCAACGAACTGGTGATTGGTGGCAGTGTATACAAGCACAAAGATATCCACAAGGCTACATGGGTGTCACCAGACGAGCAAACCAAAAACCAAATCGACTTCATCTCAATCTCAAGGAAGTGGAGGCGCAGCCTACTGGACACAAAAGCAAGAAGAGGAGCAGACGTTGGCTCAGACCACTATCTCGTACAAGGGACAATCCAAATCAAATTAAAAGCTTTCAGGGAATCAGGAGCTGCAGATAGACCACAAGCCAAGTTCAACACTCAAAAGCTGAAGGACCAGGCTACAAAGGACATCTTCATTGCAAGCATAAAGGACAAAGCCGAGACACAAATCAACACTAGCGAAGAGGTCGGCGTTGAAAAGCACTGGAACAACTTGAAAACGGTGTGGAGCCAAACCTGCATAGAAATTCTAGGCAGAAAAAAGAGACAGGACAAACAGTGGCTCACCACGGACACTTGGAAACTAATAGAAGAGAGAAGGACAGTGAAGCAAAAGATTATCCAGTGCACTGACGAGCAACAAAAACAGGAGCTGAATGCAAGCTACAATACACTGAACAAAAGAGTGAAGAAAAGTGCCAGGGAAGACAAAAGAAAATATTATGAAACCATGGCAAACGAAGCAGAACAAGCTGCAGGCAAAGGAGACCTCGCCACACTCTACCAAACAACTAGGAACCTTTCGGGCAAACGTTCGACACAGATTAAGCCAATAAAGGACGACAATGGAAAGTCAATCACCAAAGAGGTGGAACAGAGAAAGCACTGGGTTGAACACTTCAAAAGACTTCTAAATCGTCCGCCACCTACAACACGTCCAGCAATACCAACAACGGAAGCAGAACTACCAGTGAACACTGACCCCCCGACGAAATCAGAAGTCCTGAATGCAATCAAGATGCTTAAAACTGGGAAAACACCGGGACCAGATGGAATCCCAGCAGAGGCTTTGAAAATAGACCCAGAGACAACAGCGGACTTGATGACACCACTACTGGAGAAGGTGTGGAAAGAGGGCAAAGTACCCGAGGATTGGAAGAACAGTTACTTATTCAAACTTCCAAAGAAAGGAGACTTAAGTCAATGTAAAAACTGGCGTGGAATTATGCTTCTGTCCATTCCAAGCAAGATACTAAGTCGCATCATCCTGGAGAGAATCAAACAAGCCCTAGATGAAAAACTTCGTCCGGAACAGGCTGGATTCAGGAGAAACAAATCATGTATTGATCAAATCGCCACTCTACGGATCATCATTGAACAAAGCTTGGAATGGCAGTCACCTCTCTATCTCAACTTCATCGACTTTGAAAAGGCCTTCGACAGCGTCGATCGAGAGGTCATTTGGAAACTACTTCGCTACTACGGGGTCCCATCGACAATTATACACCTCATCCAACAGTTATACGACAATGCTGCATGCCAAGTAATCCACAACGGGAAACTTACGGAAGCCTTCGAAGTGAGGACGGGAGTGAGGCAAGGCTGTCTACTATCACCAATGATCTTCCTGATTGCAATTGATTGGATAATGCGACAGACAACGGCAACCAACGAGGGAACAGGCATAAAATGGACTGACACAAAAGACTTGGAGGATCTGGATTTCGCCGATGATATATGTCTGATTTCCCATAAACTGGAAGATATGCAAATGAAAAGTAACAAGTTGGCAGAAGAAGCATCAAAGATAGGACTTCACGTGAACATAGATAAAACAGAGATGATGAAGATTCCTTGCCAACATCAACAGCAACAACAGACCACAATAAGCATAAATGGGAAGAACCTGAAAGAAACAACCTCCTTCACCTACCTGGGAAGCATCGTCTCAACTACAGGCGGAACTGACGAGGACATCAAAGCCAGAATCGGAAAAGCAAGACAAGCTTTCATTACTCTCAAATCTGTGTGGAGGTCAACAGCATTCAGCATCAAAAATAAGATCCGGATTTTCAACTCCAATGTGAAGTCAGTGCTACTATACGGATCAGAGACTTGGCGAGTCATAAAGAGCATCTCAAACAAACTTCAAACCTTCATTAACAACTGTCTCCGCTCAATACTCAAGATCAGATGGCCAGAAAAGATCAGCAACAGGGATCTCTGGGAGCGAACCAATCAGGAACCGATTGTGAAACAAATAGGCAGAAAGAAATGGAGATGGATTGGCCATACGCTGAGGAAACCAACAAGTGACATCACTAGACAAGCCCTCGAGTGGAACCCGAAAGGGAGGCGGCGAGTTGGTCGTCCAAGGGTGACTTGGAGGAGGTCATGTGAAGAGGAGATGAAAGCATGTGGGCAGACCTGGAGCAGGGTGAAAAAGTTGTCAAAAAACCGAAGTAAATGGAGGTGCGCAGCTGAAGCCCTATGTTCCTCTAGGAACTAAAGGATACAATAATAATAATAATCTATTTGAACATGACCTGAGAAACATTCTCATCTGTCTTTCTGCATGACTAATTCAATGTAGTTAGTTTACTTATCAGTCTTATATCTGCCAATATAATTTCAAAAGTATAGATATATCCGTGTATTCAGAGTATTCAGCTGACGAGTTCTACCGAAATTTGATGAATTCATTAAATCCTGCTTTATTAACCTTTATTGCTTATTTTGAATAAAAAAAATTGGTAATCGCTAACGAACATCAATCAGTGACAACAGTTAAAACCCGCGAACACTTGAAAAATTGTTTCGTCCCAATCTGGGACTCTTCGTCAGTGCGCACCCATGACCCTGCCAAGGATCGGAACCAGGGTTTTTTAGGTTACGAGACGAAGATCATCAATCATTCAGCCAAACAGACTGTAATTCAATCACCTATGAGTCCTAACTTTGTCAATTTTTGATATAGAGCTCCCATCACCAGTACCTCTGATGAACATCAACTTCTCCTTGATACAAGAAATATCACGAATTAAAAAAGTTAGAATTCACACGTGATTGAATTCCGGCCCAGGTGACTGAATGGTTGACGAGCTTTACATCATAACCCGAATGACCAGGGTTCAATTCCTGATGAGACCACGGGTGAGCACTGATGAAGAGTCCAGAAGTGGGGCGAAACAATTGTCCAGTGCTCCTAGGTTTCCAATGACCTTTCTAAATGATGTCAGTTCGTGATAAAATCTATAAAGTAAAGTTAATCCGAGTCCCCATAAATCCCATCATTTAAATATAAAGACGACTACATGACCTTTGAGAAGATGACTTCAACGATAAAAAAAGTTTTCATTGTTGAACCGTCACTTATAATCTTTGAAATAAGAAATATATGGATTTCATCATGAGCTGGCATTATTTAGAGAACCATTGGAAAACCTGGGAGTACTGGACAGCCAGCTATTTCGACATAGTTTGGGACTTCTCATCATTACGCACCCACCGGGGTTCAAACCAAGGATCTTCTGGTTACAAGGCAAGCTCGTGTACCACTAAGCCATTGGGACCCAATCCAATGGCCAGCCCATTAATTCTAACTTCTGCCAATTCACGACATAGCGCGAGCCCTAGCCAGTAGGTGCGTACTGATGAAGAGTCCCATAGCAGAACGAAACAACTGTCCAGTACTGCCAGGATTTCCAATGGTCCCCTAACTAATGTCAGCTCATGATGAAATCCCGTAACCAATCAAATCCCTACAAACCAACACTTGAATAAGAAATATATTTAGAAAAATACCTTTTATTTTCACAAAAGTACAACTTACTCATACATTGTCCTTCAGTGAATTTAATTGAACAACACATAGCCGAGTCTTCACGATGAGCGCGTATACTCATTAAAAAATGATAAACAATATTACTACGTTCACTAGTTGACAGAAAAACTTTTTCATCCATTACATTGTCGAATAGACCAAATTCTTCAACTGAAAATTCACGTAAACCACCGCCATGCTCAGTTAATAAAGGTTTTTTAATTCTTAATTCTTCAGCACCTGTGAGTAATCTTAACAGAGAAGAGATTTAGTTGAATAAAAATAGGGCAAACATTTATTATCAATTAGCTGACATGAATAATATAAACTTAAAACAGTATTGCGTATGGGAACGGTATACAGAAGTTAAAACAAGCAATAAAAGGTGAATAAAGCAGGATTTAATGAATTCATCAAATTTCAGTAGAACTCGTCAGCTGCGGAATACTCTACATACACGGATATATATACACTTTTGAAATTACATTGGGAGATATAAGACTGATGAGCACATATACTACATTGAATTAGTCATGCAGAAACACGACAGGTGCGAATGTTTTCCAGGTCATGTTCAAACAGATAAAGGAGAGAGTATGAGGGATCAAAATTAAGATGAATTGCATTACGCTTCAATTACATCACTTAAATAAACAATTAGTCATTAGAGAATATAACAAGAATTGCAAACAGACTAATATCAGTAGTAATAGTTATAATAACAGTAATAATAATAATAATAGTGTTGAAGTGGGTTGAAATAATCCAACTGATAAAGGAGAGTTTTAAATGAATCAAGAATAATAATAATGATAACAATGATAGTAAGAAGAAGAGGTAATACCATGGTAATATGTTTATCACCTCTTCTTCTTACTATCATTGTTATCATTATCATTATTCTTGATTCATTTAAAACTCTCCTTTATCAGTTGGATTATTTCAACCCACTTCAACACTATTATTATTATTATTATTACTGTTATTATAACTATTACTACTGATATTAGTCTGTTTGCAATTCTTGTTATATTCTCTAATGACTAATTGTTTATCTAAGTGATGTAATTGGAGCGTAATACAATTCATCTTAATTTGGATCCCTCATACTCTCTCTCGCCTTATCTATTTGAACATGACCTGGAAAACATTCGCACCTGTCGTGTTTCTGCATGACTAATTCAATGTAGTTTATGTGCTCATCAGTCTTATATCTCCCAATGTAATTTCAAAAGTATGTACATATCCGTGTATGTAGAGTATTCCGCAGCTGACGAGTTCTACTGAAATTTGATGAATTCATTAAATCCTGCTTTATTCACCTTTATTGCTTGTTTTAAATTCGTATCGGGAAATAAATGTTTTCAATTCTTGAAGAAGCATACAGAAGTGTCTCTTCCTAGTATCAAAGTTCTACTATCAAATAATATAATATCCCAGATGCAAACAAAGCTCTTTTCAACCACCTCAACGTTAACCAACGGATTAGTAGTAGTAGCAGTAGGACGTGTTGACTGAACATTCTCATTAGAAAGGAGAGAACACGAAGTTCAGCAAAGATGACGATCTTTTCGGCGATTTCATTTCCAAAAAAAGCTGTACAATCGCATTTAAATACATAATTTTACATGGATACAATTCTTGTTTAGTTCCATATAATTATGATGGCGAATAAAAGGTGATAATTATTTTCAACTAGATATGGTTTCTTACGAGAAGCGTTAGAAACAAAATTACACGGGATTAGAACGGATAACAAGTGTGGAAACATGGAAACAAAATTGAAATAATAATTTTCAACTTGAGATGGGAGTTAGGAGGTGTGAATATAGATTACAAGAGCCCTAGAAACACAAAAATTGCACAGGATTAAGATATGATTGTAAAATAGTTATTTTAAACGAAATATAAATGTGAACAGGAAAAAACATGGAAACAAAATTAAAATAACTGTTTTTATAATTGAAAAAAATGGAGTGAATCGAATGAAGACAGAGGAAGTAAGAATCACATACACAGCAAACGAAAAAAGATCGAAAGGAAAAAGATAACGGAAAAAGACGAAGAAGAAGAAAAAACGGAAGCAAAGGGAACATACCAAACTAGGTCCATGGTAGTTGTAGAGGTTGGACTAATTTCTTTTGAACACAGCTCCGGCTTCTCGATGCATATTGTAAGGGCGTCTGCAGTACAGAGAAGTCGGAAACATACTGCTTTTGGTAGGAATCTGTTGACTTTGTAAATTACTTTGAAAGAATCAGTTGAGATGTTGGGGGAGGTGTTGATCAGATGTCCAATAATGGCACTTCTGATTGAACCGGTGCCTCCTCTTTGCAGCCACGCTGGGTAATGTTCTCTTACACGTTTTGAAAGGACGCGCATACAACGACCTATGTACCTCGTTCCACACGAGCAAATGAACTGGTATAATACACATTGAATTGGTCTTATGCAAGAGTTTGTCCTTCGAGTTGTTTCGAAGTAGTGGACGGCTAGAGAATGTCACTCTTGGTGTTGCTGCAGGGAAGGTCTTCTTTGAGCAGCTGGATATTCTCCTCTTCAGAATATCGGCTGCCGAATCTCCCTGAAATTCAGCGCTTTCTTTGGCGTTAAATCGCATTCTTCTCATTTTGGTTTAGGTTTCATGTTCTTCGCGACAAAACATGTCGGGTGACCATTTTGAGCCAGGATATTTTTGAGGAATAGGAGTTCCTCTTCCATGAAATCGCTGCTGCAGATTTTTCTAATGCGATCAGTTAGTGCGATAATGAAAGCTCGTTTTTGGCTCAAAGGTATCCAACTATAGAGATGTGTTAGTTGGCCGTTCAATGTCGGTTTTCTGTGGATGGACCTCTTCAGGGTTCCATCAACATTCTCAGCTTAAACTGCATGTCTCAGCATTTTATTTTATTCATACTACCAGATGCCTACATCAATAATCAATACTACTGCAATATGCACTTGATTCTGTATGTTCCAAAGTTTTCTTATAGTAATCTTATTTATTAAAACTAATGGTAACATTACATTTGTCGGCTTTAGTTTTGACTATAGATTTGACCAAAATAAGGCATGCCAAGCCATAGCCTTCCTCGACGAGCAATCATAGCTGACGTAAGATTAGGTTGAGAAAGGGTTAGGCGTGGTCAAGTCAGAACATGCTACCGGTCCATGAGGCCTCTGACTGTCGTTTGACTTGAGTGTGGAGGTGCACACTTTCTGACAACGATCCTCAGCAGAATTGGAATCAATAGCTTTCGAGTGTTGGTGATATGGCTGAAAATCGTTCCCGGTCGTGTAGATGCACTCAACCTTTTGTAACACCACGTGTATCTATTAACTCCTCATATTTTTTCAAGTTACTATTTTTTCCTCCTGTGTATATGTTTGCTCATCGTGGTTGTTTCAAGCCTTTTTGTCTGTTACATGGAGTGTCGCAAGTTGAACTGCTGTATTGTTGTGCAAAGTTCTACGTTGAAATCAAGTCTAGTAGTAATAGATTTGTTCGATCTTAAAGCTTGTAATTCCAGATGTTCTTCCAACAAATTACCAGTTGATGACTCTGGATTTGATATGATGCACTGAATCTGATGACGCAATTCACTAGCTGTATCGTCGGGTATAAGGGTCAATAAGTGTTCGATTTTTTTACCTTCACGTTCCCAGTGGAACATAGGGCCTCAAGCTTGTGGCTTGAAGTTTCTGTAGCAGTGTTCATTTTACAGGAGGGGGCCGCCAAGCTCATGCCCAACCTTTCCTCTTCACCAGCATTATTCCTAGTTCAGTGAGGTAAAGGAATGCGTCTGTGGCCGGGGATCGAACCCCGGACCATGTGCATGGTCGGCGAGCGTCCTGACCGCTGTGTCACCGACGTGTCCTATGATCGGAGTTAATTCTATGGGCTTTCATTGATTTCCTTGTTACACTGAAATTAAAATTTCACTAGTAATATATTATACTGAGTTTTCTGTTTGACACTTTGCATACTGCTCTTTTATTTGTCTCTAACTTCAGAGTGCGCTAAGTTTGAATTCAAATTTCTGAATTCATCACCGTTTAGTAGCACTGAAATGCACCAATCTTCGATAGTTGTGTAATCTCACAACAGCTAGAAAATTGATCCTTAGAAAATGAGAATATTAGGACAATTAACAATGTTTTGTTAAAACCACAATAATATAATATATAAAATAGGTGATCTGCTTGACACCATGAGTGGCAGTCACGATTAGGTTAGTATGAGTAGTTGGATACCACACCAATATCGTCTGATAGTGCTTGCTAGCCAGTCAGATCGAAGTGGTCCAGGCACCACACGGCCATTTCTCTCTCATTTGCACAGCCAGCCTCATCAGCCGTGTGCCCTTTATGACTCATCTCAGAGTGGTTTGAACTAATTCAGCTTTCTCAGCTAAATAAAAACGAGCATAATGCTGATGACCTCAGCAGAAAACGAGTGAAACAGCCATCTGGAGATTAGATCATTTTGATTTGGTTGGCTATCAAGTACTAATGGTTGGTGTTTGAATGGTATCTAACTACTCGTCCCAGTTAGTCAGTAGTATACAGTGTCGAGTTTAAACTTTTTAATTCTTTAAAAAGAAGAAACCAACAGTGATTCAAAGTTTCCTCTACCCGATAAATCTTCACTTCTCCTCCATTGATATCTCCAACAGAAATAATAATATCAAACAAATGTTGAGATAGAAGTATAGTTTTACGAAAAATTACTTATATGCGAAATTGCAATGGTAGTAATGAACTTGGTTGCTGATGAAATAACGGCATAGATGTAAAAGGTTGGACTGGCGTTTGGTGTAACTCACGTAATCTTTGGCGTCGATAGATATGATATCTGTTTTTATCTATCAAAGTAAGTGTGTACTATACAGCACTTTGCTATAACTCCATTATGAATAAGATTTTATTTTGATAGATCACACAGTACTGTTATACAGTAATATTAACTGATGACCACGTTTCAAGTACAAACCATTGCCACTCATAATCATATCAAGTTACTCACTCACGTAACTTTATTCTTTCATTTATATACATGTGTGTAATTTACCAGATATTTAAATAAAAATCAATATGGATAATGAACATCCAGAAATAATAATACGAGTGTAATTAATCAATTACAATCAGATGGGAAATAAGACGAGTGTTTTTATAGTCATCAGTAATAAGTAACTTGTTAGGATGTTGTGATGTGTTTGAAACTAAATAGAATTTTAAAATTATTTATTATCCTTATCTGATTTGACTGACTGACTGGTGGTGATAATATCTTCCATATCTGTGGTATTTGCATTGAGTCATTTCTGTTGCATGTGTTGTGTTGGGTGTAGACTCAATGAACCAGGCGGGATTCGGTAATCAATCTCTATCTCCACCTACATAGATTACTTCTAAGAATCTTAATCCTCTCCCACCCTACTGTGTGTTAATGCATGCAGTGCAATTCCTGAGCTTTTTTCTAAATTACTTATCTTTTCCGGGTCAACCATTCTTCCCTTAGCTAAATTATTATTGATTCCACACACGTATATAAATGAAGGCAAAAAGTTGTGTGAGTAACTTGATATGATTATGAGTGGCAATAGTTTGTGCTCGAAACGTGGTCATCAGTTATTACTGTATAAAAACACTGCGTGATTTATCAAAATAAAATCTTATACATAATGGAGTTATACTCTACCACAGTGATTCTTCTATCTGTTTTATTCCATCATTTAGGTCTTTTTTTTGTGCCACTTAGTGCTACTGCTCGGTTTTTTAAACACTTAACTAAGCCTACCGTAACAGTTAACGGATGAGATGAATCACATTCCAAATATCTATTGGCAGATTGCGTTGGTTTTTTATAAACGCACTTTGTTATGTCTTTCATTATGACTGTGAGACATGATAATTGAAAGTGTAATACACAAAAAGGCTTGCTGTCTTTCATCATGTTCATGTTTTGCCTCTTATGTTAGGCCATCTGATATGGTGAATAATATTGAGATTGAGTGAGGAAGGAAATCGAGATTCTGTAGGTGTATCTTTTCAGATAGCATTACACATATCAAGTCGTTGTCTACCCAGCGAACAATTTTACCTCATAGGTGGATTAGGTTGAAAAATAGTTACAGGTAGTCAAATCAAAATAATAATCTGCTTTATTCCAAAACAGTACTTGTGATACAGAATGGAATTCTCAGGATTTCACTACAATACTGCATCCAGTTTGTACATTAACAATAAACAAAATCCTACATAGATTATGGGTAATCTCAGTTAGTTTTGACAACAACATATTGACATATCGGTAGCAAAGTCAAAAATTGAACAGTGTTTGAAGGTGTTAGAAAAGTAGGTACTACTACATTTATTGGCGTAAGTGGCAACGAGAAAGTCGAAATATACAGAATGTGAAAGAACGAAGAAGAATGTTTTAAATAGAGTTTGTAAGGAAGAGAGAAACAAAGCAGCACATAACAGAAGAGAGAGAAAGAGAAAAGGAAAAGAAAGAAAGAAAACGTTCAACCTATAAATGATATGAGTTGGAAAGACGAGATCCAGTTATTCTACTGACTATTTAATAAGTTATAGGTTTCACGCCTAATGCTCTCTTTATCGCACAGAACACGAGCTAAGTAGGGTACGGTTGAGTTTTTGTACTTTCTAGTGCGAGCATATAGTTTTCTACATAGGCTTCTGGTCTGGTCTGGCCTGATGAGATGCAAGGGGAGAGTTGTGAATGAAGAGGGTGGTGTGAGTTAGATAGATAAAATGGATTTAGCCCATTTTTCACATGAGTCCAAGTGCCTGTCGACCAGAATAGTAAAAAGTTGGTTAAGTGACACTTTGACCATTACGTCTCAGAGCAAACTTATACACACAGTATGAAAGTGTAATCAATCTCTTACTGCCTTGGTAAACATATCACTTTCATTACACTGATTATTCATACATACTCGTGGGCTCAATTCACTAAGCAAGTTTTCAATTTGATGAAACTTAACCTTCTTGAGTTGCCGTGTTGACAGTCTTTATTAGATTTTTCTGTTTTCTATCTTCTCTCACCCCCCCCACCCACCTTTTTCTTCATAGTTTAATAGTATATAGACTGATGGAAACTTAAACTTTAAATTGTAATACTTGTATTCCGTATGCGTTCACCTTATAATGTTTTCTCTATTACCTTTGAAACCCTGAAGTATGAAATGTTATTATTTATAACCATTGTAACTTCAGGTAGTTTGCGTTTAGCTGATGAGAACCTAAGATATAGAATGATGGCATCATTTTATAATGCAACTCTGATCAGTCTTTATTTCTCTATCGAAATTTATGAAGGGAACCAAATGTATGAGAGATTGATCACTTTGAAAGAATACGCGAAAAACAGAAACTACCGAAAATGTAACAACGAAAAAACCTACTCTCTATAAGATGCTGTTAAATAAAGAGCATACTGTCCAGAGGTTCGATGAAATTGTTTTTGTACAACAAGCTGAGGTACACGATTTCTTATTGTTTCAATAAGCCAATCGACGATATCTTCAGTAATGCCTCTTTTAAATATTAATACAACATCACAATCTGTAGATGGTACAGCAGAAAGACGTCGCCATTTCTGTGTACGCGTCATAACATTTTTACTTGTCTGAGCTACTTGTCGTTGTAGGTCGGTTAGTTTTTCTACAAAACAGAAAAAACAACACAGAAGAATGCCGCCCAATGTAAAAACAAAAACGTACTGAAATAATGAAACGCTGACTGGACAACGACAAACTAAGGCAACCTCTAAAGTATCAGTGTTTTATTATTACATTATTATTTTTCCCTTTAATTCCTAAAGGAACATAGGGCTTCAGCCGCGCGTCTCCATTGCCTTCGGTTTTCTGCCAACTTTTTCACCTTGCTCCAAGTCTTCCCACATGCTTTCATCTCCTCTTCACATGACCTCCTCCAATTCACCCTTGCACTGACGACCAACTCGGCGCTTCCCTTTCGGGTTCCACTCGAGTAATGGCTTGTCTAGTGATGTCACTTGGTGGTTTCCTCAGCGTATGGCCAATCCATCTCCATTTCTTCCTGCCTATTTGTTGCACAATCGGTTCCTGGTCGGATTGTTCGCTCACTTCCAGAGATCTCTGTTGCTGATCTTTTCTGGCCTCCCATCTGATCTTGAGTATTGAGCGAATACAGCTGTTAATGAAGGTCTGTAGTTTGTTCGAGGTGCTCTTTATGATGCGCAGTGCAAGTCGCTGATCCGTATAGTAGTACTGACTTCACATTGGAGTTCAAATCTACGTTGTACGTATAAAGTCTACGTTCACCTTTAGCGTAGGCGGCTATGGCTATTATAAAGGGCTGATTACACGTTTACTTACCTTCGCTAAAGCCGCATTTATTGTATTGTGTATGTTGGTTCGAAGGGTTTAAATTGATTTCGAGATTGATCACAAAGTGACTTCATTTAGAGAACCATCAAAAACCAGGGACTACTGGACAGTCGTCTCGACTGACTCCGTTCGGGACTCCTCACAATACGTACTCATGAGCCTATCAGGTACATAACTCAGGAATGCCCAGTTACAAGGCAAGCTTGTAGACCATTCAGCAGCTAAGACAGAATCCACTGACGCATCAATTTTAATTTCTGCTAATTCTCAACATCGTACAACCGCCAGGTAATGTCATCAGAGAGTTTTACTCCTAATATACAACTTGTTGGACTCCGCTGGTCACAAATTCCCACTAGAACTTTAGGCAACCTCATCCTCCAGTGAGTCGCTAGTGAGCACTAGACTAATTTTTAAGTATCGGTTTACATAGATTGATCCATTTCAAAACTGACTTCAGTTAGGGAACCACTGAAAACCAGGGACTAACAGACCATAGGATTCCATCCCAGTGACTGCATAGTCAGCGAGCAGCCTTGTAACCTGAATACCTTGAGTTGGATCCAAATCACTGCCATGGATGTGATCATGATGAAGAGTCCCGAAAGGGGATGAAACGGCTCTCCAGTAGTCCTTGGTTTTCAATGCTTTTCTAACTCAATTCAGCTCGTAATCAAACTTCAATTCCACATCCTTGATAGGGAGTGTGACTCTAGAATGTTCCAGGCCTACACCAATATTGTCCTGACCAAAGTATAGCTGAGTGGACCAGTTTATCAGGAAAATGTTCCTCTTTATCACAGGTAAATATCTGCGTATGCCTATCAAATATAAGCCAACGAACTGATAATTTTAGTTTAGACTGTGAAAACACTACACTTATTTAAAAGGTTGGATCACTGTTGATAAAGCTTTAACTAGGATAAGACTGAACTATTTGTCAATAAGTACTAAGTGTCCTATAAAACCAGGATGAAAATTCTCCAGGCTGGATTAAATTTCGGGCAAGGAAAAGGAACTCAGTGGATGAAGTGAATTTTCACAGACTAAGGGCAAGTGAAGTACATTGAGTATGGGAACATATCATATAACTCTACATACTATTTTGCCTGATGAACGATTAGGTTTGATAAAAGACTTATTGTCAGTTTGAGCTATGTATTTAAGTGTTAACTCACTTTGTAACAACAGAAGACAAGGGCCAGGCAACAGATCGTTTACTAAGGAAATCAACACATATTTATAGATTTCCATGTACATATTATAGATTATTGTTAGCAGAAAAACACTGTCTTCTGATTGGTTGTTTCTCACAGAAAGTTAACCTTGCATCTTTTCGTAGCAGTTTCTTGGATGTCAGATCATCTATGTGTTAACTGTATACGCGTACGCAAAACCTTTGTTCTCATTTTTCTCACGCCCAATATTGGGGATATAAACATTGACGTAAATTACTGTCCACCAATTTTGACTAACATCCAGCTCTCACCACAACCTAATGGAGTCCTACAAGAGTTATGAACCAACAAGTCGGAAGTCTTGTACATTTTGTTCAAAATTTACCTGAAGCACACTGATTACCCACTCTCGTTTTTGAAGATTTGAAAATCGTCACTAACTCAAATAATTTCCCCGCATTCTCTTTTCGTGCAAATTGAACTGGTTAACTACTATGAGAAGTTTTACATTGGTGTGTCGGAAAGTTTCTTGGTGGAGTTAAACTATTAGTTAGTGTCCAAATAGGTAACTAATTTAGATGGTTCTTTTTATTTTCTATGATTATATGTTAATCATTCTTAAAGCAGCAACTAAAACTTAATAGTTTCCATTTCCACACTTTAACTACTAAAGTAACAGGGCAGTTGGACACTTACGGTGTAAACTAACCACACAACCATATTAATAAAATCTTGTCTAATCTGTAAAAAGCCAAGAGGTAAACGCTGAAACATCTATCTGTCTGTCTGTTTTCGACATAGAACTTTGCACATATGTGCGGCAGTTTAAGTAGCTACACTCCCTCCTTGTAGCACACAAAGCAACCGAAGAAAGTAGAAGAAATGCATAATAGAGACAGTAAACAGAGATGTGAGACAAAGGAATAGTAATAACGAAGAAAAATATAATTTCATTGGAAATTATAAGTCACAAGGAGTGGATGCATCTGCATTAGCCATTGAGAACGAAGAGTTTGAGCCATATCACCAATTGTTTTCAACCATTGGTTTTTACCGTCCCGAGGACCCCAACCAGGAAGTCTACACCTTCCTACGTGGCTGGCTGGCTTAAACTAACTGTTGTGGATTTCATTGACTGATGAAACCATGTTGTGGTTTAACCACCATTAGCTCTTTTCCAACCTGATCCATCCTATATCAGCTAACATTGCCCGCCAAGAAACTCGATGACTAAGCAGGCATGCGTAACACATGTCCTAACCATCTCAATCGATGTAGCTTCACAGCCTCGTCAACTGACTTCCCCACCTTACCTAGCACTCGATGCCTAACCTCAGCAATGCTCACCTTATTATGCCATTTCACACGGGAGATAGAGCACAGGCACCCATGATCACAGACAGCTAGCCAGGCTTTACACGTCTTCCACTCTCAATGGCCAGGTCTCACAGCCATAAAGGAGGACGGAGCGGACCACTAAGCAGTACACCTGGCCTTTGGTCGATAACCAGTCGGATATCACGTCTACGCCAGAGACGGCGTAAATTGGTATATGCGAAACTAGCCCTCTGTATCCGTACTGAGATTTCGTCAGAGATCAACCCACTGGCGTTGGTTGAAGCAACTCCCCAAATAAGTGAGGCGGTAAACGTGCTCTACCGCTTCACTCCCTATTTCTAAACTAGCAGTCAGTGTAGTCCATCCAGTCCAGTGCTGTAACATCTTACATTTGACAAAGGGAGCGAATCGCATGCCAAACATTCGTAGATTGCACCTCAATGTGTTCAGAAGACTCTGAATTTTGTCAGCGTCCTCGCCTGGAAGGACTATATCGTCAGCACATTCTTAGTCAACGAAATTATTCCGTGGTAGCAAGTCAATCCCTGAGTCTCTGAAATGAGGTAGGGTTACGTCCACTAGCAAATCTATGATGAAATTAAATAGAAATGAATAGAAACGTTAAAACATACAAAGAAAGAGGAAATAAAAACAAGTAGAACAGAAAATTGTAATACAGAGCTCTGTCAGCATTACTCACTACTGTTTCACTGTGTTCTAATATCTAGCAAATGATCTAGCTAAAATGTTTTGCTCTTGCAGTGACAGAATAGAAATGATATGAAAGAAAAGTAAAAGTAGCTAAACAGAGGCTAGTGAGAATATTTAAAATTTCCCAAAACTAAAGTGATTCGTTCGTTACATCGTCATTATGGTGGCCAATTTTTTTCGATGTCTCCAAAATATTGATTCTTAACACTTTAGCCACAGAGTTTAGAATTTACTATATAGCTTAAATCGAAATTTGAGAACTTTATAAATTGGTATCGCATTTCGGTGTGCTCATCATTAACTGTTTGTACAATGTAATCTAACTTTACATAACATCCTTTATTGAGGAAGGTGTGACAATTATATTGTAAGTTAGAAAATTATATAATGAGACAAACTTGATAAACTTACTATGGCATTCTTCTAGTAGCGTCATTTCGGCGAGATTTACTTTGATGTTTTAATAATTTGTTAAATTAACCTGTAAATAGAATTTTAAAGAAAAGTGACATTAGATATCATTCGAAGGTATTCAGGATCTCAAAACAACTAACTATACATGAAAACGTCTTATATTCCATTCATCTAATGCTTAAGTTTCTTTTACTTTTCTGCTTGAGGTAAAACGATTTAAAATAACGTAGGTAACAGGTACGTATGAACTTCGTAGCTAGTCTTCATCATCTTGGTATAAAATTAGGTAGTACAGCTGTACATCTTACTACAATACACTATTACATTAAAACAGGTCAATAATAGCTTGAGACAACAGTAATACACGTCTACTTTTTCGCGTTTTCTTTAATTTTCTGTTTCAATGACAGTTACTGGACATTAGGGATAAAGGGTTCTATTTAAATGTTAACTAAAAAAACACTAAACTTACAAGTGGCGTCATCATGCAGGGAAAACTTTCAGATGAGACTTTTGGATGGTGCTGCTGAAGGTCTATCTTTCAACTAAAAAAGACATGGGCAGCCAAGTATTCCCAAGGAGAATTAACTTGATTAGTAAAGGGACATAGTGTCTGGATTAGCGGGGATACCAAAGTCAACTGCACACATAAGTCACATTAATTACTATTTAAGGGGGAGGCTTCTGGAGTATCAAATGCGTAGAGCACCAGAATGGCACTCACAAAGAGAATGTGAAGAAAAGTAAGTAATGACTATATAAAAACTATTCATTGATACTAATCAAATATGCTAAGGCCTGCATTGAGTTACACTCTAGGATAATAATTATATTCACTTGAAACATATTTCGGTTCCATAATTTTGAAAAATCAAAAGAGTTTATACACATACATATGCATTGGGACAGAAGATCAGAAGACTTGCCTGATTTTCTAAACACTACTTATTTGGTTCCAAAAGTGTATGTTGGACTGAATTTGCGTATTGACATTTGTTTGTTCAAAAGTTTACACTCGCGTATATATTCTAAGGATTGTAACAAGAAGTCTGTTCACTGAACCATACAATGACCTTCCACAATAAACCTTTCACCAACCTGATCACATGCAGATGTCATGATTATTTATATGAAAAACAATAATAACTTAGTAAATTAGGAAGAAAAAGACAAATAAGTAGGTGAATTTGGTCCATAGGTTAGTAAGATAGCACAATAATCTTTGATCTAAAACCTAATTTACCAGGAAAGGTTTAGTGTTATGATTAAATATAATAAATATAGTTAGAGCACATAATCGTCAATTGCGTACATTAGTGAACAGTACTTAGAGAAACTTAAGGCTTACGTCTTACACTACATTACGCACCACATAAAGATGTTTGATTAAGGCAGTATAATTATTAAGAATGAAAACTACTACTCGTTAATTATGTACTCATGAATGTCGGATTGAGTTTGACAAACAGAAACATTCTCTTTGTTTATTTTTCTCCAACTGGAGTTAAAATAATACTATTCACCAATGACAATTATTTTTTATGCATTTTACTACTATGAAAAAATAAAAAGGAAAAATTGTCACTGCATTCACAATTAATCCAAATAAAGTTTTTGGTGTTATCGCGTTTTCTCAGCAAATTGCTGAAAATGTGACACCAAAAGTGACAATGAAATTCCATTGTCACTCCGAATAAATCAGCTTTAACTGCAATTTGAGATGAAACTGCTTTTCCAAAAACATTAATCTGCTGTTTGTCCCAATTACTATTTGTTCGGTTCAGTAATTTACCCCTATTGTGGAACTAAGAACCGGAATCATAATAGTCAGACAACTGCAGAATCGGTCACTAAGAGATATTAAGACACTGCCTCCGGTATTTCAAACCTAAATAATTTGCTTTTCATTTTAAAACCATCAACTCACTTAATTTTGCTTTCCCCAAGGTCACCAGCGGTGTTGAATCAGCTTCAAGGTTGAATTGTGAAGAGGGTAACTTTCATCACTACACTTAAACTTTAGTTCGTTGTAAGTAGATGAACATATATTTGAGAATATCGCTATGATTCTTATTAAGATCTGTTTTGAAAAAAACCTGTTTGCTTCCTAAGTGTTGAGATGTACATATTAGTCTTGCCAGATTCAGATTATAAGGAAAGAAGACTTTTATTGCCTATGTTAATCCTCGTGATATATATATATATATCTGCTGAGATCCAATTTCTCTTTGAAAGCGTTCAACGATGGAGCTGTTACTACTGAATCAGGTAAGGAGTTCCAGTCGTTGACCACTCTGTGAGAGAATCTGAACTCCAACCGTATTTTATTCCATCTCGGTTAGAGTACCTTAAAATAATAATTTAAATTTTCAGATAAACATATAAATTTGCATGAAAATGCATTCCACTTTTACGGGCACGATCAAGTATGATATAATGTTAGCTCGTAGATTGTCTACAAGTTAATTATGTTGCAACAGTTAAATATTTGATATATATATATATATATATATATATATATATATATATATATATACACTGATTGTCTGAATCAGGCTGTATAATTATTGAATTGTACAGTTGTCCTCCAGGTTGCGCGGGAAAGTCGACTTCGTTTCATTTTCATCCCGTGGTTGTAGGCATACGATAACCAACCAATATTGACCCGTAAATGTATCCTAGAAGGCGAGAAAAGGTTTCAAAAGTCAATCCCTAAATCACCCTTGAATATACGGTAAGCCAAAATTAAGTCGCTTCTCCCCTTCGGTATGATAATGGGAAAAGAATCAGACGCTCCATCCGCACGTCATAAGGAAGGTGTGAGATTATTATTATGTCCTGTAGTTCCTAGAGGAATATAGGGCTTCAGTCAAACGTCTCCATTGCCTTCGGTTTTCTGCCAACTTTTTCGCCCCGCTCCAAGTCTGCCCATATGCTTTCATGTCCTCTTCATATGACCTCCTCCAATTCACCTTTGTACTGACAACCAACTCGGCGCTTCCATTTCGGGTTCTACTCGAGTAATGGCTTGTCTGGTGACGTCAATTGATGGTCTCTTCGAAGTATGGCCACTCCACAAACTGCATTCCTTCCTGCTTATTTGTTGCACAACCGGTTCCTGCTGTGTCGGTTCGCTCATTTCCAGAGATCCCTGTTTCTGATCTTTTCTGGTCGGCCATCTGATCTTGAGTGGTGTTGAGCGAAGACAACTGCTGATGAAGGTCTGTAGTTTGTTTGAGATGCTCTTTATGACTCGCCAAGTCTCTGATCCGTATAGTAGCACTGACTTTACATTGGAGTTGAAAATCCGGATGTTATTTTTGATGGTGAGTGCTGTTGACCTCCACACAGACTTAAGAGTAGTGAAAGCATGCCTTGCTTTCCCGATCCTCGCTTTGATATCCTCGTCAGTTCCGTCCGCCTGTAGTTGAAACGATGCTTCCCAGGTAGGTAGGTGAAGGAGGTTGTTTCATTCAGGTTTCTCCCATTTATGCTGATTGTTGTCTGTTGTTGTTGCTGTTGGTGATGTTGGCCAGGAATCTTCATCACCTCTGTTTTGTCTATGTTCACCCGAAGTCCCATCTTCTCTGGATGCCTCTTCCGCGAACTTGTTGCTTTTGACTTACATATCTTCCAGTTTGTGGGAAATCAGACATGCATCATCATCGGTGAAATCCAGATCCTCCAAGATTTTTGTGCGGGTCCATTTTATGCCTGTTTCCTCGCTTCCCGCTGTCTGTCACATTATCCAGTTTACTGCAATCAGGAAAATCACTGCCGATAGTAGGCAGCCAGCTTGTCGTACTTCCGTCCTGACTTCGAAGGATTTCGTAAGTTTCCCGTTGTGGATTACTTGGCATGCAACATTGTCGTATAATTGTTGGATGAGAAGCATAATTGTTGGCGGCACCACGTATTAGGGGAGTAGTAACCAAATGACCACACGATCGACTCTTTCGAAGGCCTTTTCAAAGTCGATGAAGTTGAGATAGAGAGGTGACTGCCATTCCAAGCTTTGCTCAATGATGATCCGTAGTGTGGCGATTTGATCAATACAAGGTGTGAGATACCACTAACTAATTTCGTTCTTACCCTCTGTACTCTTTCCATGGTATGTGCCTGCTTTTCGAAACATGGACTCGCCGCTTGTATACAGTACTCCAGATGAGGCCTGACATATGTTGCATAGAGTACTTGGAACACACCCTCGTCTAATCGTTCCAAAGCTCTTCGAAGTGCCCATAACATTCGAAAAGCCTTACCTGCGGCTCAATTACAGTTTACCGTCATGGCTGTCAATGTAGTTGAAGATTGAACGATCAATTCATGGCTGTTTGCTCAAAACCAACTTCCCCAATTTTCTCGGAGGCATCAATACGACAGTCATCGTCTCGTTGGTCACTGTTCAGAAAGAAGTCAGGAGACAACCGTCAGAAACCTTAGTTGTAAAGCTTGGTTGTAAAGTTGGCTATATGTTGGTGTTACAATAAAGAATTCTCGAGTCACCAATCGGTGTTTTGGTTTTTGCGTCCGTTCGTACTAAGAGTTTCTGAGAAACTTCGAGGATCAGCGTGAGCTCGAGCGTAGCAAGAGCTGGGCATTAACGGTTTACGAGACGAAGCTGACAGTTTCTGACTGTACGGCGTCAGTTTTTGACGGATTCAGACAGTTGGTGACAGTTTGGATAGTCACCGTTCATCTTTCCCGGTACCGGCCAAGTCTTCTTTGAATAGGCAATATCTGGAACGTTTTTTCAATTGCGTCAAGTTCAGCAATGCCTGGGCCAAAGAAGGGACAGAGCGTCTTGGATGCACACAGGAAAGTAAGCCATGTTGTCTTGTCTGTTACTTGTAACGATGTGTCTGATGTTAAGCCTGACATGGTTGATGTTACTGTTTCGCTGTTCAGGGATAACAGGGACATCAAACTCCCTAAATTTGAACCATGGTGTTTTGACGGAAACCCGGCTGATTATTTACAGTTTGTAAGGGAGTTTGAGATCATGCTGAGTAGTTTTTTATTAAGTGATGAATTAAAATTGATTTATTTAATGAGGTTGTCAACCAAAGTCTCATAAACCGTTAATGCCCAGCTCTCGCTACGCTTGGGCCCACGCTGTTCTTAGAAGATTTCTGAGAAACGCTTAGTAACAACGGACGAAAAAACCAGAACACCAATTGTTGACTTGAGTATTATGTATTGTTACACCAGCATATAAATCAAGTATCACTAAGCAAACTAAGAAAACTAAGGTCTGTAAACAAATATTACAATAATAAATCGTTATGTTACTTCTGACGATATTTAACTCTTCTTTCTGAACAGCGACCGATGAGACGATGACTGTCGTATTGATGCCTCCGCGAAAATCCAGGAAGTTGATTTTGAGCAAACAACCAAGAATTGATCGTTCAATCTTCAACTCCATTGACACTCCCCGGCAAAAAAGGGATCCAACCCTTTTTTCCTTCACGACTAATGCCCGTTGACTTGGATGCCATTGCGAGAACCTGGGTCACACGGACAGAGCTGAAATGGAAAACAAACAGAAAAGCCAACACACCACAGGCATACCCACAGCACAATATCACTCATCGACGACGACCTGCGCCTCCAGATAGAGACCTCCTCTTGACATCTTGCAACACAGTCTCCACTTGCTAGAATGACTCTTGCAGAATGCAAAGTGACTATGGCAGCACCTCACGATACTCTACGCACATCCTCTTATCTATTCACTATCAATTATCACTGAAATCGCTTGTCACTCATTCTGCCTCAGTTCTAGTAGCGGTGACGCATGCGAGCCTCAGTCGTTTACACTCATTCTCCCCGGCGTGTCGGACCGCAGCTAACAATTATCTCCGTGTGCATTTCATTCTCAGCAATAGCCTAGCCTCCCCGGCGTATACGACCCATCTGCTGTCCTTAACATCAATCAATTCATTCATGGATGTAGAAGACTCGAAACAACTTCAGAAATAATCACGATGAAAATTTTAACAAAATTACGCAATAACAACAAGACACGAAAACAACAAGTAAACACAATGAATCCAAAAAACACCAATTGATATGACACACCACACGTATATACAAACAGTACACATAAACTCGCGGATCACATCTTGATGGAATTCCTTTGAAGAATTGCAGGACTTACACCAGTACGCCTACAACCCTTCTCAGGTTGACGATTGTAATTTGTGGAATGTACGGACACAAACAAGATTAACCAACAATTACATCAATTGGAACTCACACAATTATTTAACACAAACATATGTACAATCAACACATCAAATGTTGTGGATTCTGACACGACAAACTACCCTTGAAGAACCGTAGGACTTACAGCAGTACGCCTACATTCCTTCTCAGGTTGATGATCCAAGTGGAAGTCATCCGGACACAAACAGAATTACCAACAGCTAGATGACAGATGATATCAATTCAGTATATACAATATGAACATATGTACAAGATCATACACCAAGCACATTGGACTGCTCATTGATGCGCTACCCTTTGAAGAATTGTAGGACTTACAGCAGTACGCCTACAAACCCTCTCAGGTTGACGCCCTAGGTTGGAAAATCGTCGCAGAGTTCATTTGCTAACTTCCTTCTATGAGCTATATCCTCAAATCTGAACGGCAACACGCTCATGTCATTGTATCGTAGAATATAGATGACCAACAAACACCCGACATATCTCATCAACCAAGTGTAGAAACAGAGTAATTTACACCAAAGATAATAACATTCAAATAGTAACTTGAAACTAGAAATGCCTTTATTTGTGCAAGTCAATTTAACAATTACTCTCTCGTTTACACTTGGCTTATCCACACTAAACTGACCATTGATATTCGTCCTTTCAAACGAACTGATACTACCATAGTCATTGCACAAGATACTTGAGTTGATGGGCATCTGTTTCATTGTGGATGAAAACACCAACGATGACTGAGTGACACAAGGTGATGAACTTAGTGGTGGATCAGAAGCTGTTCTTGTTCGGCTCTCAGATAGTTGTCCAACTGCAAGATTACCACCACTGCTGTCTTTCACTACTAGTTCAGGTTTAGCACTATCATCTGATGATAGGTGGGCTACATGCTGATCAATTACACTGACTGTCTCACAAGTATGCACACCTTCTGGAACTGCATCTGCGTTCAATTCTACTTCACGTTCAAGTAGTACAGAACCTTTATTTAACTTAGCAGTAGTAGGCATATCCCTCATCTCATAATGATCAACCAAAGACAAATCTGCACTATCAAGATCATTACCACAAATGTTCAATTTACCGTCAAGTTCATCATTTTCAAACTCTTTAATAACAGAAGTAGATAATTTTGGTTCCTCCTCAAAAATCATTAAAGGTTTTATAACTTCACTCTGACTAGATATACTTTGTAAACTTGTGGAGTCAGAACTCCACTCTGAAGCAGTAACTCTATTCTGTGACACTCTATTCAACAACGGCTTACCAGTTGCAACTACAGACTTCTTCACAACACCGTTATCGTCACACAATTCGGAGTCAGGCCTGGAGTTTACATTTAGCTTATCACTGAACTTGCTCACCGGTTCACAGTTCACTTCTGTATGCACCTCTTGCACACGTGTAAACCACAACCGTGTTTGTCTTGCATCTTGTAACTTATCTGTTGAGGATGTACTACGAAACCTGTTACACTCACTAGATCTATATGCATTACTAGACATCATGGAGCCTTCTCGATATCCACCTCTCTGAGGCTTATTCGTCATCAATGATTGCGTTTTACCCTCAGACTGCTCTATTCTATGGGTGAGATCTAACAGACTGGCGAACTTGCTCATAGATTGATTGACACTAGTATTTACCAGTTTCAGGATATCATCAAACTTTGGCTCGATACCCTCATCCTCCATACGGGAGCTTATCTTCACCCACTTCCTTTGCAGTCGAGTAGGTAGACGTCTTGCTATTACTTCTAGTATAAAACTCGAGTTGAGGTCACTCATTCGATTCATCGAAATCATTCCATTCTTGTAAATTAGCAAATTATCTAAAAACTCAGTGAGTGCCTGGGAGTCATCCTGTAATTGACCACCATTACCCTTAACAGCCTCGAATAATTTCCCTGCAATCATCGAAGGTCTTCCAAACCTTTGGCGTAATATGCTCATAGCCTCATCGTAGCCCTCTTTTGGCTTCATAAACTTACAACACTGTATAGCTCTTGCAGCATCTCCAGTGCAATATCTCATCAAATACATTAACTTCAATTCATCATTTAATAAAAAACCACTCAACATGATCTCAAACTCCTTTACAAATTGTAAATAATCAGCCGGGTTTCCATCAAAACACCGTGGTTCAAATTTAGGGAGTTTGATGTTCCTATTATCCCTGAACGGCGAAACAGTAACATCAACCATATCATGTTTAACATCAGACACATCGTTACAATTAACAGACAAGTCACCATGACTTACTTTCCTGTTTGCATCCAAGACACTCTGTCCCTTCTTTGACCCAGGCATTGTTGAACTTGACCCAATTCCAAAAAAGTTCCAGATATTGCTTGTTCAAAGAGGACTTGACCGGCACCAGGAAAGATGAACGGCGACTATCCAAACTTTCACCAACTGTTTGAATCCGCCAGATCTGTTTCCATCGTCAGAAACTGTCAACCAAAGTCTCATAAACCGTTAATGCCCAGCTCTCGCTACGCTCGGGCCCACGCTGTTCTTAGAAGATTTCTGAGAAACGCTTAGTAACAACGGACGAAAAAACCAGAACACCAATTGTTGACTTGAGTATTATGTATTGTTACACCAGCATATAAATCAAGTATCACTAAGCAAACTAAGAAAACTAAGGTCTGTAAACAAATATTACAATAATAAATCGTTATGTTACTTCTGACGATATTTAACTCTTCTTTCTGAACAGCGACCGATGAGACGATGACTGTCGTATTGATGCCTCCGCGAAAATCGAGGAAGTTGATTTTGAGCAAACAACCAAGAATTGATCGTTCAATCTTCAACTCCATTGACAGAGGTACTGCACTGGAGTTGCTTCGAGAGCTATACAGTACTATAAGCTCATGCCCCCTAATGAGGGCTACTACGAGGCTATGAGCATACTCCGTCAAAGGTTTCGAAGACTTTCGATGATTGTAGGGAAATTATTCGAGGCTGTTATGGGTAATGGTAGTCAATTACAGGATGACTCCAAGGCACTCAATGAGTTTATAGATAATTTGCTAATTTACAAGAATGGAATGATTTCGACTAATCGCATGAGTGACCTCAACTCGAGTTTTGTTCTAGAAGTAATAGCAAGACGCATACCTACTCGACTGCAAGGGAAGAGGGTGAAGATGAGCTCCCGTATAGAAGGTGAATGTATAGAGCCAAAGTTCGACGATAATCTGAAACTGATAAACGATAGTGTCAGTGAACATATGAGCAAGTTTGCCAGTCTATTGCATCTCACCCATAGAATAGAGCAGTCTGAGGGCAAAACGCAATCATTGATGAGGAACAGGCCTCAGAGAGGAGGTGTGGTGACTGACTATTTCTATCTCTGTATTGTTTAAATACTTACTGTTGATTGTTAATATGTTTCTTATATGAATTGAAATATGATTCCGCTAAATACAAATTCCTGAATTCCACCATCTGTGTGTTTTGTTTGGATTCTTGTAATTCGATCATCTCGAAATACTAATATTACGATTACAAATAATTACTACAAATTGGCGCCACGATGGAACTAAATAACCTGGGAAAATTTCCCATTAATGGGTCTCCGCGGGAGATTGCTGATTATTTGGAATGCTTCGGCGCGTGGTGCATTTCAAAGAATGTTCGGGATGACAAAATACCAGCACATTTCATTACTGCTATTGGGCTAGATGCGTATAGCCTAGTAAAGAATCTGTCGTTTCCAGGTCAACCTATCTCTCTGTTATATGTCAAGATTCGTGAACTTCTGATAGATCACTTTCATGTAACTACATTTGAGATCAGAGACAGGGCTGAATTCCATAAACTGGTTCATGCTCCTAACCAGAAGATTCGAGAGTTCATTCTTCAACTTCAAATTCAAGCTTCAAAGTGTAACTTTGGAGATCAGCTGCATACTCAACTACGTGATCGTCTAATTGCTGGAATCAATATTCCTAATTTAGAGAAAGAGTTAATTCGGATTCCTTCTTGTACCTTTCAAACAGCTAGAGATTTATGTGTTACGTATGAGGATGTTAACAGTGAATACTCTGTTCCCACTACGTCAGTATCTGATGTCATGCTGTCCAAAGTCGAAGATACAAGTGTTCGTGGAAAGCAATCCAAATTGTCGTCCACAGTGCAGCGAGAGATCAAAAACATTAAACCGTGTTTTTCCTGTGGAAAGTTACATCTACGAAGCACTTGCCGTTTTCGGGGTGCTAAGTGTCACAAATGTGGTAAAGTTGGACACATCAAGACGGTTTGCAGAAGTTCGAGTACTTATGTTGCTCAACGTTCTTATAATTCTCCCAAGCTGTCTAGTAAAATGGAGTCAATGTGTCCTTCAACTTTTCAAAATACTCACTCTCATCTAATGAAAACCTCCACTACAAGTTCAGCAACTCAAGCGTCAACTGTTTTCAAAAATGTGGTAGCTGAGTTACAATGCGAACTGTCGAAAACACGAAAAAACCTGAATGAGATGAGAGAGCAACTGATTAAAATGGAGGAATTGCTGCATATGCATAGACTGCGTCTTTTGAATGCAGAGCATACATCAGATACTGACGTAGTGGGAACAGAGTATTCACTGTTAACATCCTCATACGTAACACATAAATCTCTAGCTGTTTGAAAGGTACAAGAAGGAATCCGAATTAACTCTTTCTCTAAATTAGGAATATTGATTCCAGCAATTAGACGATCACGTAGTTGAGTATGCAGCTGATCTCCAAAGTTACACTTTGAAGCTTGAATTTGAAGTTGAAGAATGAACTCTCGAATCTTCTGGTTAGGAGCATGAACCAGTTTATGGAATTCAGCCCTGTCTCTGATCTCAAATGTAGTTACATGAAAGTGATCTATCAGAAGTTCACGAATCTTGACATATAACAGAGAGATAGGTTGACCTGGAAACGACAGATTCTTTACTAGGCTATACGCATCTAGCCCAATAGCAGTAATGAAATGTGCTGGTATTTTGTCATCCCGAACATTCTTTGAAATGCACCACGCGCCGAAGCATTCCAAATAATCAGCAATCTCCCGCGGAGACCCATTAATGGGAAATTTTCCCAGGTTATTTAGTTCCATCGTGGCGCCAATTTGTAGTTGAGACGAATTGAATTCTTACTACTGCTGATTTGAAGAAAGGTTCTCTACTACTTGAAGGTGAAGTATAATGAGAGTCAGATGCAGTTGTAGAAGGTATGGATATTTGTAGGACCGTCAGTGTAATTGATCAGCGTGAAACCCACCTATCATGAGATGCTAGTGCTAAACCGGAGCCAATAGTAAAAAATAGAATTGGTAGTAATCTTGCAGTTAGACAACTTTCTAAAAGCCGAACAACAACAGCTTCTGATGCACCGCTAAGTTCATCAACTTGTGCCACTCAGTCGTTGTTTGTGTGTTCATCCAGAATGAAAGGGACGTCCATGGACTCATGTGTCTTCTGCTGTGACAATGCCAGTATAGGTCCGTTTGAAAGGATGAAGGTCAATGGTCAGTTTAGGGAGGATAAACCAACTGTGTACGAGAGGGTAATTGTTAGACTGGCTTGCACGAATAAAGGCCTTTCAAGTTTCAAGTTACTATTTGAATGCTATCAACTTTGGTGTAGATTACTCTGTGCCTTCACTTGTTTGGTTGGATACGTCCCATGTTTGTTAGTCGTCTACATTCCACGATACAACGTCATAGGCGTGTTACCGTTCAGAGTTGAAGATATAGTTGATAAAAGGAGGCCACCAAATGAACTCTGCGACGATTTTCCAACCTAGGATGTCAACCTGAGGAGGAATGTAGGTGTACTGCTGTAAGTCCTACAGTTCTTCAAGGGTAGTTTATCGTGCCAGAATCCACAACATTTGATGTGTTGATTGTACATATGTTTGCGTTAAATACTTGTGTGAGTTCCAATTATTGTAATTGTTGGTTAATCTTGTTTGTGTCCGGACGTTCCACAACTTACAATCGTCAACCTTTGAAGGGTTGCATGCCTACTGGTGCAAGTCCTGCAATTCTTCAAAGGAATTCCACCAAAACATGATCCGCGAGGTTGTTTGTACTGTTTGTATATACGTGTGGTGTGTCATATCAATCGGTGTTTTTTGGATTCCTTGTGCTTACTCGTTGTTTTCGTACCTTGTTTTTATTGTATAATTTTGTTAAAATTTTCGTCGCGATTACTTCTGAAATTGTTTCTAGTCTTCTACATCCGTGAATGAATTGATTGATGTTAGAGACAGCAGATGTGTCGTATACGCCGGGGAGGCTATTGCTGAGAAATGAAATGCGGTCCCACAAGCCGGGGAGCGAGAGTGTGGACGACTGAGGCTCGCATACGTCACCGTTACTAGAATTGAGGCAGAATGAGTGACAAGCGATTGCAGTGGTGATTGATAATGAGTAGATAAGACGATGTGCGTAGAGTATCGTGAGGTGCTGCTATGGTCACGTTGCAATCTGCAAGAGTCATTCTAACAAGTGGCGATTGTGTTGCAAGGTGTCAAGAGGATACCTTTATCTGGAAGACGCAGGTCGTCATTGATGTGTGAGATTGTGCTGTGGGCATACTTATGGTGTGTTGGCTTTTTTGTTTGTTTTCCATTTCAGCTCTGTCCGTGTGATCCAGGTTCTCGCAATGACATCCAAGTCAACGTGAATTGGTCGTGATGGAAAAAAGGGATGGATCCGTATTTTGCCGGGGGGTGTCAATGTAGTTGAAGATTGAACGATCAATTCATGGCTGTTTGCTCAAAACCAACTTCCCCAATTTTCTCGGAGGCATCAATACGACAGTCATCGTCTCGTTGGTCACTGTTCAGAAAGAAGTCAGGAGACAACCGTCAGAAACCTTAGTTGTAAAGCTTGGTTGTAAAGTTGGCTATATGTTGGTGTTACAATAAAGAATTCTCGAGTCACCAATCGGTGTTTTGGTTTTTGCGTCCGTTCGTACTAAGAGTTTCTGAGAAACTTCGAGGATCAGCGTGAGCTCGAGCGTAGCAAGAGCTGGGCATTAACAGTTTACGAGACGTGGCTGACAATGGCTGACAGTAATTCGTAAGTCGCTTTGTTCTCTATCATCTGACAGTTCTGTGTCCCCCATGGGGTATGACGTGTAAGACTTCTGACCTGGGTGCATTTCGGCGCTCTCCTTGGAATTAATTTTCAGACTCCAAAGGTTAGCGCATTCGGCTAATCTGTCTAGATCGTTTTGTAGTACCAACCTTTCATCGCTACTTATTACAGTTTTCCATATCTTACTATCGTCAGCAAACAGTAAGGAAGATGGGTTAAGAGTCTTCTGCACTTCATTTACGTATAATAGGAATAGCAGGGGCCCAAGAACAGTTCCATGAGGTACTCCACCCATACAGTACACCATTAACCCTTAACTTCTGCTTCCTATCCATCAGGTAGTCACTAAACCACTCACATAAGTGTTGGTCCAATCCAAAATGTTTAAATTCACTAAGAAGACCTTAGCAGGATACCTTATCGAATGCTTTACTAAGATCAATAAATACAACGTCCAGTAGATGGTCTTTATCTCTGGCCTCGACCCAATCTTCCCAAGCTAACAGTAATTTTGTCAAGCAGTATCATGCTGGTAGGAATCCATGCTGTTCCACTGCCAGTAAGCCATGTTTTCTGTATAATTTAATCCAGGTACTCAAATGAACAATCAACCGAGTTATAATGATACATTTGGAAAAGAACAACCTATTATCCAGAGTTTGCTACGGATCCCAGACAAGCCTCTCAGAAACCCTTGCACAGCAGTATGAAGCCGAGTCAAGTCAAGGGGC